TAATCTTTTTGAGTAATTGCCTGGCGACAATGAGTTTACATGGTCATTGAATGATACCCCAGCACAGGTGTCGAAATAGTAGTCACATGTATACTATATCAGCATCCATGAACTGGACAGGCTATTTGCTTTCTTTTTGAATTCCAAAAATGATAGTCCACTTTCCTCTTTTAAGACAGTTAAATGACAGGGTGCAACTTACTGGGTAATGCAGAGTTGACGTTGTCAGTGGTAACATACTCTAACCAGGCTGCATGATATCCAACGACATTACTGTGATTCAGATGTGCTAGCACTTTAACTTCTCTTAATACCTATTGGTAGGGTAAATTGAATATTACAGCACACATTAACATCTTCCTCTTAGATATCACAAGGCAAGCAGGCAGTAAGAAGTGTCCACTCTTTCTTTACCGCGCTTTTCAAACACATGCAACCTCAAAAGTAAAAAGTTTAACCATATGTTACATCTTTCGCTTCCGTCAATCAAAATTGCCACAAAACAAAAAGACAAAATGGATGAAAATCTACCAATCACATCCGACAGACATGACCTTTTGAACCCACTGAGGAAAACCTTTGTTCCAAGAGAGGTCTGTTAGGATGATTAACAGAAAAAAAGTAGACATTGGGCTACATTTTTTACTTAAGAGTTCACATGTTGTTGAAAAGTGCATTAATAAATCCCACCCTCTCCAACACATGGTAATTGAAAGTGCTAGTCTAAAGGGGAAAAGTATCTACACAAACATTTGGGCTGAAAGGTAAACACTACTTTAAGGTAACCGTAACTCACACTGGATGTTTTTTAAAGCCATGGTTCAGGGGGTTCATGCAAGTGAGAATTAACTTGTATTTCTCTTCTTTCCCACACGTAAATAGTCAGGTTTTTGTTCTCTTGTCCAGCCTCTCACACGAGCCATACTGAACTCACTTCTACAGTGGAGGCTGAAGAAATTTAACAACACTCATCTCTAGCAGGCAAAAACAAATAAAAACAGCACCATTGTCCAGTAATTATTGTTACTTTTACCTTTAAACAAAGATCGGGGTCTGTTTCTTTGAGTGGGATTTTTTTCACAGCATACTCTCGTCCATCTAACTTGTTTTTTACCTGTAGAGGTTGTTAAAGTAGAATTAAACAGCTGTTAACTAGCTTGAATACATATGTAGCTGGGTTTACAAAATAACAAGGTGGCTTAGCATTTGTTAACTCATACAAACCTTGAAAACACTTCCAAAACCTCCTTTACCAAGTCTTGTGATCTCAACAAACTCCTCTTTGTAGCGGGAAGATCCATTTTGTAGTAGATCACTCATTTTTTGAGGTGCTGATAAGCTCCTGAAAATGCAGGAAAGCCAGTTGAGTCTTTGAACAGAGCAATTTCCTTTAAACCTTTGGTCTCTCAGCTTCCTTCCCTTCCCCCTCTCCTTGTGCATGATTACTGTCATATTTATGCAGTAACCCCGAGGTGAAAAGCCCACACAGCATTCCTACGCTACACTGGCTGTGCAATATTACAATACAATAAGTTAACTTAAAGAAGAAGGCAAAATGTCTTATTCTAATTTCCCAATTTATAGCTTTAAGGCGGACCAATACTGCTTCTAAAACATCTTTTTACAACAGCCAAGACCCTCACATACAGGTACATCTAAATAAATTACATGCCAACAGATATTCTGTAACCAGGCCACAAGCATAATTTGTGATGTTATATTCATAGCCTGTGAATGAAGTTGCTGCTGTTGTAATTACTCAGCTTACCGTAAATTGCTAAATGCACCTGGCAGTGGTCTCTTTACTCCAGAATGAAGCTTGCGAAGCTGAAATGTAAAGCTAACGATTACTAGGTAATGACAATAATAATGATTATACATTTTTACAAAGCTATCAACACTGTTGTCCATGTAATGTAACATTATGTACAATTTTAAATTGATTGCAATTCATCATACTTGTCTTACTCAGAGATGTTGTTCAGTAGCAAGGATTGAAGGCAAAGTGCCACATTGTTAAAGGCAAGAATAGAAATGAAAAAGGTATTGAGAAGCCTGAGTTAATTCTGAAATTCTCTCAGCCAGCTGCTAAATGCCAGGCTGTCAATAACAGCCGGCAGCCAGGCCAAAACCGCTAGCTAGTTAGCCACCCTTAGCTGGCTACTTTCATCTCCTTCTACCACAGGATCTGACAAAAAATAAAATTGAAAAGCATCCGTTTCCCAGTCTTGAATGACATTGAACACATATTTAAACAGGAATAAATCTGTGACACGTGAGAACCGTGCAATGTCATGGAACATCTGGGACATTTCCGAGACTCTAACAAAATGTCCCTAGATGCTGCTTCGGCCCTCAAGAACTGATGCCTTTGGTGCGAGCTCCAAAGCCACCTACTTTTATTACCAGCCTGCTACTTAAAATCTTTTTGACAGCCCTGAAATGCTATCAAAATTAAGTTACCAGCCATATTATATCTTACATCTGTTCCTGTGGTTCTGGCAGCAGCTTGCATGAGGTCACTGAATGCTGTCTTGTATTTTGCCCTGATGACACTAAATTCCTCCAGAAATGAGAAAGAGGGCATCACCTAAGGAAAGAGATGGAGAATTCATGAACTTTTATTACATTTTTATGTTTCCATACACTTTTAATCAGGTTAAAAAGAAATTGGGTAATCAGTCCTTCAAATAACCTAATCTAACAGCTGTAGGTGATTATCCTTGTACTTAAAACTTAACTGAGGAGGATTTCATACCTTCATCTTCACAAGTTGTTGACAGAGCACTGCAAAAAGAAAACAGATCTTACATTCTGTGTACAAAAAACTAAAGGAATTTCTAGTATACCTGTACAGTCAAGTATCTTCTTATATTATGTAAACTAAGACACCTTTAATAAGTTTTGTCACGGTCACAACCATGATAAACAAACACTGCATTAATTTTTATCTCCGAAATAGAAATTAAAACCTCTTCCTTAAGCAGACACTTTTTCTAGTTCCAAGAGTGTCCTGCAGACTTGCCAACCCCCAAAAGGCAAAAAATGTGAGATTCTGAACCTAGAGCTGGGAAAATAAGTGAGAAATGGGTAAAAAGTTGTGAGATGTCCCAATCTCCTTGTGCAAGGATTTTCTGTGGAGATTATGGGTATTGGAAGTCACTATCTCACTTTAAAGCTGGAGTAGTAAACATCACAATCAATTTTACGATTGAGGTTTTGTATCTTCTATGTTTTGTTGGCACCGTTTTGAAACAAGAGAAACAGGAAGTCTGCACATTCATCTGAAGAATTATGAAGATCTCGGAGGGTGTTATCCGCTGAGGCCACAACCTCCTCAATCTCTATAATTCTTCAGATGATAGGAAAGCCCAATTCAATAATTGCTACATATTATATGCCACACTCCAGTAATAATTGTGGCACTTTAACAGACTTTCATGTATTTGTTAGACAACAAAAATCATTGCTTGGGTTCCATTCAAAGTTTCAGCATGAAAACAACTATCAACTAATTTTTTCTCTTTCTGTTCTGAAGCATTCAGTGTATGTTTCTTACAATCTAGTTTTTACACTCACCATTAAAGATCTCTTTGCTTTTCTCTGCATCAGCCTCGTACAGAGAACACAGATGTTCCAGAAGAGAAACTAACAAAAGATAGTTGGGAACTCTTCCCTCTAAAGCTTGGACACTAGACCAAGGATCATTATTGGCAATGAATGTGTCTGAGAGATCTGCATCTGTTGGAAAAAGGTAGATTAAAAAAAAGATTTCACGGCTTTACATCTCTTTTTAGTGGATTTGACAATTGATTTGTTAACTTTTGATGTTTACCTATTTACTATTATCAATTTTCTCACCAGATAAAACATCAAACAGGCCACTTTCATGATGATATCATTTGACTACAATTATTACCAGAAATTGTTACTATTTTTTTACTATTTTGTGAGGTTTACCAAGGACTCTAACTTGCACAAGAAAACAAAAGTATTGAGTATTCTGGAAGTTGTAGTCTAAAGGATATCATCATGCAAAAATGGGCTACAATGTCATCTAGTGAAAAATAAAACACCAGTTGGACAACATAAATCTCAGGGCTGTGCTCTAGCAGAGCCCAGTGGCCCCTGGCGCCTAACTTTTGCCCTCAGGCGACTAGAAAATCTCAGATTTTTCATACAAATCATACGCTGGGCACCCTAGATTTTACAGTTTCAGAGCACTGGGCTCCCTTATATTTTCCTTAGAGTACAGCCTTGAATCTACATTATTATGAATTAAATTTTATCTACAATTTTGGATACTTGCAAAGCTAACTTTACTGTATTTTAAAACAAAAGACATAAATGGCAGACTAACATGCCCCTAGATATAATGGCAAAATCGCTGACCCACCACATCCTGTTTTGGCGTGACAACAATTGTCCGATATTTTTAGTACAATTATTGTTGATTGACAAAAAAATTATTGGAAAAATCATATTAGTCTTCTAAATTTGGTCAACAGTAGCTGGTTATGAAAAATTAGCCTGGAGATTACAGCCAATCAGAGATGGAGAATTTTTTTGGAACATTTGAATAAGGTTTATTGCATGACAGCATGAGAAATATTGTAATAAGGTGAACGTCCAGACAACGAGTTACTGGGGCTTCCAGAAAGTAATAATTATGTCAAATGGAGGGTTACTTAAAAAAAATTAGAAGGGGCCATGTGGAGAGAGTCACTTAGCTTTGTGAAAGGTGGTGCTAAAAATAAACTTATTGATCAAGAATTTTCCTTGAATCTTTTAATGAGGGTACAGGAGTGGGGTTATATTGATATTTAACAACTGAAGCAATAAAATTGAGTCTCCTTCACGACTTCAGTAGTGAATAAGAATTATTTATTACTATTATCAACCAAAGAAAATCAATACATAATAACTTAAAACATAGTTGACACATGAAAACCTCTCATGATCTCATGTTTCATGATCAGAACAGTTTCAACCAACTAACTATAATGAGCCCAACATCAAGTTTGTGAACTTCTTGAGCAACGTACAGTACTGTACACCATGAAGTTAAAAAGTATTAACCCCGGATTAAGCTTAAAAATTTAATGATCGTACACGTTGTGTTTGTTTTGCTGTAAGGAAATTAAAGGTCCCACAAACGATGGCATATTTAATCATAAAAAAGCCACAACTGTATTACACTCCAAAGGGGTTTTAGATTTGAAGAGGGTAGCTAAAGTTTACCTTGGAATTCTGTTAAACGCGATGGCAATCGAGGCGAATCGAGTTTGGAACGGGTCCACTTTGATCTTACGTTGGACGACATGACGGCTACAGGACACAGGAAAAGCCCTTATCCATCTCAAAAACCTGCAGTGAGGTTCTAGGAGAAGAAAACCACCGACTTTTTATACCAGCCTAAGTGAGTTCCGCGGGAATACTTATCCCATGGTTTCACACCTAACTGGTTCAACTTGATTGCACTTTCGTTCGTTTCGTTCCTGTCACCTCATGTTGACATGTCATCATCAGATCTTATCGCGTGGTTACCATCCCGTGACCAGGTTGCTTGGCAAAATGGCGGCTCGCATGCATGCGAGAGACTTTGGAAACAAATTTTGGATTTGCAGAAAAGGGTTTTATTTAAAGGACATTAAAAACCGTTTGTTTCATTCATTTGGACTTAAAGACATTTTGCTTAAGAGACTGAAAGATATGAACATCGAGAAACCAACCGCCATTCAAGAAAAGGTTTGTTTAGAATTTGCAGGCGCTGATTAACCTAATTTTAATTTTGTTTCCTCATTGTTTACCTTTGGCTTGGTACTGTAGGCCCTGGGAACTGTTATGGAAGGAGAAGACGTAGTAATCAATGCAGAAACTGGAAGCGGCAAAACACTCTGTAAGTACGTATATGAGCGTATGAAGATGAGTACCCTGCGAGCAGAGGCCCTTCGATCTTCCTAGATAAGTCGGGAAGAGCAAGGGACATAGTCCACGAGTATTCACTCTTCCCAGTGCATTTTTCATGGCTTTTTCAAATACATCCTTCGAAAGAGAAACGAGGCCCTGCCAGAGGGGGGGGGGGGGTCCCATGTCACCCATCTGAATTGTAAAACGTCTCGTGTCGGTGTTTTTAAATGCTTGTCGCTTATTGTCGGCTTTGCCGTCACTGTCGCAGTTTGGCCGAGGGAGGTTGTCTCTTGTCGCGATTTCATTTTACACACTGTTGCTACTTTTTGTGCCATGTTGCTTGTCAGAATTTACCCTGGCAGGACCTCTCAGAAACGTCTGCCATTGTTTTGAATTTTACGAGTGCATCAAGTGTACTGTGGGTGTGTATTTAGTCAGCAATTTCTAGCAAAGCACTTGCGCACTAAACAAAAACAGGAAAAACTGGTTTCAAACCGGACTGACTCATCCATTTGGAGGATGAGCGGCAAATCAAAGAAAGTCGAGGCGGCTGGCAGAGGTCCCTTCCTCTTCCCAACTTATAAAGGAAGATTGAAGGGCCTCTGCTCGCAGGGTAGAAGATGAGTGTTTCAAGCAGTAAAATACATCCATCTCCCATGGCTTCCTTTTTCTGGGGATATTCACAAGAGTTGTTCGTGTTTTAGCCTCAAAAGTTCCATAAAAGAGTGTAATTACCACATCAACCAATCACCGCTCCTAGGCAGAGTTATGCTGTCAGTGTGGAATTTTTTGGGCCACAATGGAGACGTCTCTTATGAAACGTCCCACTGATGGGGAGTGATCAAAGGTAGCAGTATTCAAGGGCTAAGTTATAGTTTTGGGATCTTTGTTAATAACTTTTACAAGTGTCACTGGTTATACTTCATTTACAGGTTACTTGCTACCCATTATAAACAAACTGCTTGTTGATAAGGAGCTGCTTTCCCGACCACCTTATGCTGTTGTTTTGCTGCCAAGTATTGAGCTGTGTCACCAGGTAAGATACTTCCTTAAAACCTCCTTGATGATTATTTCTGGGTTGGTGGGAAAAAGACTCCATAATTTTTAGGGGGCATTCTGGTAAAAAGAATGGTTTTTGAGAAATGACTCTATTAGTTTGGAGTCCATGGTTTAGTAATAATTGTTTTAAGAATTTTGGATGATTTTTCGAATGCTTTTAATATATACAAATTGGGGGGGGGGGGGGGGGGGGTTTAATTGGCAAATTGGAGAATATTGGATTTGGGGGATGTTAAAATCGTGAATATGAAGTGAATAATTAGTAGACAAATACCAGTCCACCACCATAACAATACCTTTTCTACTAATTTATTTTCTTCCCAAGTCAACATCATTTCCCCAAAAAAACAACCAGAGTGTCCCTTTAATGGTTTATCTTGGGAAGGAAAAGGTTAGCTGACTTGTACTTACAGTACAGTCAGATCTGTATTAAGCATTCACTTACCAAGGAGTTTCTTGGTATTGCAGAAACTGTTGTTGGTTCACTTTTGTGTTGTGGTATGATATTGTCTGTTGTCTTTTTAATCTTTTGGTATTATGTCATTTGGTGATTACACCCGTCAACAACACCAAAACACTACCCTTACAAAAGCCCAGGCAGTGAATTTCTCTTAATTACTATAAAACTTGCTGTCTTGTACTAAGTGCCAACTCTATTAAGTGGCTGCAGTCATCTTTTATAAGGTCTCTATGATTTTGTTTTATTGTCTTCACTCCATTATAAAAGCAACACTCCTTACTGGATACAAGACTGACAGCATTGATTTATGTTATCATTGTAGGTTGCCAGTGTTTTCCGTAGTCTAGCACATGACGCACTTCATCCATGCATTGTTCACAGAGAGTCCAAACTTATGGTTAACCCTAATTATTCAATTATAGTGGCCACAGCCAACTCACTGTGTAACTACAGCCTAAGCTCTCTGAGCAATGTTCAAGTTGTGGTTATTGATGAAGCAGATCTGTTACTGACTAGTGGAGGAAATAATCTATGGGAAATCCTTAGCTTTTTTAAGGGTGTTGACAGCTTGAAGGCCAAGAAGAAAAAAAGGCACTTGGCAAGGCAACAAAAAGCTTCCAGACAACATAATGCTGTTGATGATGAGAATGTTACAAGTGACTCACCCAGACGAACAGAAATTAAATTCACTTCTGATGCTAAAAGAGAAATTTGTCAACCTGAGATGACCTTCACACCACCTCCAAAAAGGCAATTTGTTTTTGTCGCAGCCACATTGCCCCATCATGGCCCAAAATCTGCTTTCAGTGTGCTGAAAGACTGGGTTCCAGAAGCAGAATTTGTGTCCACTGATTTAGTCCACCAAATTTTGCCCACGGTGGATATATTTTATGTGCGTGTACAAGAAGCTGAAAAGTTGCCTGCGTTATTACGTTGCCTTAACAGCCTTGCAGGACTGATTAAATACCCATTCGCTCATGCTGAAAAGAAGAGTAATGAGAAAATGGATTTCAAATTTGAGGAAAGTGTTGATTTTAGTTCTGATATTTCTTTTGGCAAAGATACATGTAAAACTGAGAAAATGTATCTATCAAACAAAAAGACTGAAATCTTGGATGCTCACAAATCAAAGTTTAAGGATCGAGCCTTGGAAGAGAGAGACTTTGCAACATCGTTTGGAAATGTAAGTTGGGAAAATCTCAGGGTATTAGTATTTGTAAACTCTGCAAGAGCAGCTGAGCAAGCCTTTGACTTTCTAAGACCTGGAGAAGTAGAGGAAAGCAACTCAATTTCTTGGAAACATGGAACTAAAAGTGATGAAAGTTCAACTACATGGCAAGCTGAGTTAGACAATGGTGATGGCAGCAAAAAAGATGCCCCAAGTTATTTTGTGACACACACCGGTAGCAAGGACATCTGGATTGGACGAGTTGGAATGATTCACAAAAGGGTTCCTCTTTCTCAGAGAATAGAAACACTAAACAAGTTTAAATCGGAGGAGCTGAAAGTTTTAATATGCACTGACCTGGCATCTAGAGGATTGGATATTCAGGATGTAAGTCATGTGATTCAGTTGGACTTTGCTCCCAATGCGGCACACATGCTTCATCGGGCAGGACGGACAGCAAGGGCAGGTACATCAGGAAGAGGTAAGAATCCATGTTAACCCTTTATGAAGCCCCAATCATTTATTCCCATACAAATTCTCCAGACTAACCTCCATTCATTTCTTTTACACTTTACAAAAGTAAGTCCCAAAAGTGACCAACATCAATTTTCTCCAAACAACACTAGTACATCTCCAATGGTTAAAGGTTATGAGAACTGGTTAAATGGTCACCAAAGGGAAAATGCTTTGAATTTTATCAAATTCTTCCAATTAGTTCTCTAAGGAAATATGTGGAGATCAGTCAGGAGAATTTGTATGTGGATACTGGAGGTTAAAGAACTTTTTGGGAGAATTTGATAGAAGATCAAAGCAGTTTCCCTTAGGTGATCATTTTATTATTTCTCATAATCTTTTCTCTTGATTATGTATTCAGATTGTTAGTAGGAAATTCATGTTGGTCACTGTTGGGACTAAAAGGGTTAATACCAATGTATCTGTTTATGAGTAAGCTCTCCATTTGGGGGTATTGCACGGGTACATGCCGCAATATCTTTAAAATTGCTTTGAGCTCACTTGTTTTGAATTCTGTTCTCGGCTCATTTTGGTTTCTGTTGCAATGGAAAGTTTGCTTGCTGGCTAGAATTAACTGTAAAGAGTAAAAATCTAACCAAGAAGGCCGGTGTATCCGCTAGAGCTTGCGAAGTCCTCACCTCTGAGTCTGTGCGTAAAATCGTACAATGTGACAATTTAAATGAAACCTCCAAATGACCAACCTCTTTGGCAAAACTATTCACCAGTATTTTAAGACACAATTTTCAAAATTTCGCCCTTGGTTAAGTTTAATTTATTTCGATTCATTGTATCCTCTGTTTTTACTGAGTATTTTGCTGTTGCAGTTATTAATTTGGTTACTAAAGACGATGAAGATTTGGCAACAGCTCTTCAAGCTTGTGAAGACCCCTCCAGTGGTAGGAGATATGAATCCCACTTCAGCCGACAACGACAATTTAGGAGACGGCTTAAGAAGAAGTTACAGGGTCAACTTAAAAGGGAAGCTGAAGAAGTCTGTGAGTTATAGTAAACCCAAAGTGAATGATGGAGCTCGACTCAACTTCAACTCAACTTAGTTGGGGCATTTTAACTTTTGAGTTTGCGGATGAAATCCTATGATGTTATCATTAAAATGAAACCTCTTCAGCAATACTTTGGCGTGGTACCATTTGTTTTTCATCATTTTAAAAAATGAAATCTGGAATTTTGTCAAATCTTGCTTTCTCGGGGAGTGAAAAGGTTAAGAAACTGCTGGAAAATGTGCCATGAAATGAAGCCTCTTGAGAACTATATGAGATGGATGCTTGGATAACAGCCTTATCTAATGAAAATCATGACAGAGGAGTTTAAATTTTAATTTGATTTTATCTTTAAACAGAGGCTTGTAATTCAGTTTGCGTGAGAGTAAATTAAAAGAGAGCGATACTTTTAGAAAGGCCAAAGGAACCAGCAAAATTAGCTGAAAATTCCACCCTTGATGCTTGAGTTGACAAAATACAGTTATGAACTACTACTGAAAGTAAACTACAGTACCTGGTTCGAACTAGCCTGAGGAAACAGTTGCCATTTCATGCCAGCAGTACTGGTTTCCCCGAGAAAAAACGCGTCCCTACCCAGATCTGGGTAGTAACACGTCATCAGTATGGAATTTCTGCGCTTGTTTCTCACACGTCATTTCGTGGGGAAACCAGTGGTGGCGTCACGAGATGTCGGCTGTTTTCTCAGGCTAGTTCGAAGGTTATCTAGCCTTCCACACAGGCGTTTTAAGGGGAGCTCATTTTTCATCCCTCCCCACAAATGCCTGCTCAGCCGAAAACAACATTCCTTTCTCATTGTTTTATTTGCGTGGTAAGTGACCAATAAGCAGTTGTGCAATAAAGTGTTGACAGCCTGGCTAAACGTGACTAAAACGTGACCCTAGAGTTACCGTTTTCCTTCTTTTCTTTCCTTCGCTAAGGTTATGAAGCGCATGGAGTATTCTAAAATTTGACTAAATCTTATTTTTGCCGTTCTGAATCTAGTAATTATTAGAGGTCAGAAAGTTTTTCCAGTGTTTCATGCAGATCGAGTAATTATCAGATTACCTTGCAATCAAGGTCAACTTTCCAGAATTTGGAAAGTACAATGTGATTGGCTAAGCATGGGAAAGGAATGTTGTCTTCGGTTGAGCAGGCGTTTGTGGGGGGGGATGAAAAACGAGCTCCCCTAAAAACGTCGGCGTGGGAGGCTAAAGGTTATCTTGAACTGATCGTTTCTCCTACGATGCCGTCTGCTTCTGTGGGTGGCAGACTGCACGTATTAAACAGTGTTCTCACCAGGATTTTGTCTTGGGGAGTCCCAGAGCCCCCTCTTCTGAGAAATAGGGGCCCTGTAAGAACATTAGGGGGACAAAGTAACTCGCGGTCCACGACAGATGTAGAAAAAATTCGTCGTGATTTATCCCCTTTCCATTTTATCAAAGCACATTCAAAAGGGAACTCTTGCAATGGTGGTCCTTCAGCTGAAATCACTCTTAGGGTGTCCAACCTCTCTGCTTGTAGCCTATTTCTCTGACAGTTTTTAAGGTTGTTTTGAAGGCTAAAACCCCGTTCACAGTCTGCAGTATGAATGGGCAACGTTAATGCCACAGCAGCAAGTTTAAGAAGATTAGGAAATAAATCCTTGTGAAACTTGTAAATTATGCTCCAAAGAGTGCCCATATTGTCACGGGGATATTTCTCTTGAAGAACAAGGTGCTTAACAAGTGACCATTCATGCCTTGCTGCTTCAGAATCAAGGAACCTTTCATCCCCATCAGCAGGATTCCTATCAAAATGAGTTAGCAAGACCTCAAGTTCTTGAACTTCCCAGGTCTGGAGATCACTCCTTGGTACAAATGATAAAGGCCTCATTGCCAGCACACTACAAGCAGTTATGATGTCTTGAGTTTCCTTTGGGAAACGCTTGTTTAAGTTATTTATCAGTTTATCAAGAAATTCCTCTTTGATTTTTGGGAATCTGTCCCTCGATTGTGAGCTTGCAGATAGTTTGTGAGTTTTAAACTGGCAAGTCGAAGAACTCTCATCACTGAACTTTACCTCTTCCTCAAATTTCTTCAGATAGGTAGGTTTTGTTGTTTGGTTCAGCTTATACCTAGTCAGTTCATTCACACATGTTGCAATAGCAGGGGGTACAATACTGCAGTCAAGATCCCTTTTCTGAAAAATGAGTGTCAGTTCCATAACATGGGGTAAGACATCCATGAACATGTGAATAGTTGCCACAAATTCAAATTGGGTTAGCTTGTTGACGTAACCTTTTAGTTTTCCATCTTTGTCACGCTTGTTTTCAACTTCTTGCTCAAAATAGGTAAATGCATTTGACTTCTTTGCCTCAACACAAATCTTGCATGTCATTATTTTCTTATCAGCATCATAGGCCAGCCATGTGTATTTCGACTGCCATGCACTCTGAAATACACGGTCTTTCTTCGGTGGAACAGCTCCTTGGTCTTTATTTGCTACATTATCTTCTTCATTGCCATCTCCGCCAGAAATTCCATCGTCTTCCACTTTTTCTTCAAGTCTAGGGACTTTAGGGCGAAAGAAACTATCTAATTTTGGCTGCGCCATCAGCTGTTTCTTCATCAACAAAAAAAAAAATGCGGTACGAAGAACCTGAGCCCGCACTCCAAATTGTCTGTTACATGAAGTACCTACCTGATTCAATATGGCGTTTACGATTCGGAGGAGGAGTTTACGATGTAGTGGGACGTGCGTAGGATTAATGAAAGGAAAGGCAACAAAATTAAAGACTTTGACTCATTTGATATCATGTTTTTTACTTATTCAAACAAACAGAATGCTTTATTGTTAGGTTGACCATTAAAACTACTTAAGTCCGTTTGACTCGTAGCTTGCCCCTGCGCCCTAACGGGCGCATCTTCTTGGTTTTAATGCGCCATTTCAGTTTTTCTTGCGGGAATCCCGCAAGGCCGCGGCCTGGTGAGAACACTGCAGCAAGTGTGACAGACATGTTATCTGATCTGAAATGGGACACATTAGAAACAAGACGAAAGAAAAACAGATTGACTTTAATGTACAAACTTAGTCATAATCTAGTGGACATAAACACAGAAGAACACTTAATACCAAACAGTGAATTAAGAACACGCAACAGCCATGCTTTTAAGTATAGAATGTCAAAAGTTTCTAAGGACGTCTTTAAGTTTTCCTTTTTTCCTAGATCAATAACAGAGTGGAACTCAGTGCCCGCTAACTTAGTAAACTGCAAGTCATTATCTGATTTTAATTTAAATTTAGGAAAGCACGTGAAATAAGTGAAGTAAATTATAATTTTCAATTATCATCTATTTATTTTGTTAATTGACATATTTACTTTTATTCAACTTATGCATATGTACATATATGTATTAATTTTTTATTTTAGCTTTTATTTACAGTTGATATGATGTCTTACAAGATTTTATCAACTTAATAAATGTAGATGTAGATGTAGATGTAAATGAAAGACAATAACAGATGACTAGGGGAGATGGGGAATAAATTTACCTAAGGGAACAAAACTTACCTAGTGAAGGCATGAACTGTACTTGTGGAGAAACAGATGTAACAAAGCAAAAACAAAAGCGTTTAAAGCTGTTGAGCTACAAATAGTTAATTACATACATGAATGA